TCATGTCACCTGCAGGGATAGGGAGAAAAAAACCTCAGAAATGGGAATGGGAAGGACGAGAATAAACCAAAAGTGTTGGAGAGATGGGGGAATGATCAGGAAGTGAATTCCCCCAAACTCTTCTCAACAGGGGGAGAAAGAGAGGACTGTGTCTGCTTCTACATCGCATCCCAACACTCAGAGGGACTGTCATGATAATCAGGGTTAGCCAGCAGCCTGGGGATTAAGGGGTTAACTACACCTAGCCAGGTGGAGTGACCAGTAGGATTTTGTAGGTGGGACTTTCAAACTAGGACAAAGGAATTTGGGTTTTTTCCTTTCTCCTTTTGTCTGGGTGTGTTCTCTGCAGCTACAGAGAGGGACAAGCATGTCTCTCTCTCTCCAAGACACCATTCTTCATTTTCTGTAAGTAGGGTAAAGTTTAGGTAGTTTCGCTAGGCTTTACTGTTTTAAGGGTTGGGTATGGGATCTGATGTGTGGCACTGCTTAAAAGATGTTTTGGCTTTTCTTGTAACTAAGTTCTAGGCCCATGGAGTTTCTCCATGAGTATATTTTGTTACCTTCCCATCTAGTCATTATGCCTACAACAGGAATATTGTTGTAATAATAAAAGTCTTCTCTTTTCTTTTTATTAACCTGGCATTGGTTACTTGTGTATCCTGATTTTTATAATAGGGGTGAGATTTCCCAAATGATCTTTCCCCTGATTTCTTTATCAACATTTGGGTGGTGGCAGCGGAAGTTTTATTCCCAAGATCTAGGTTTTTAAGATTTTGGGGGAAGTTTTATACCAAAGCCTGATAGATAAGGCTTTGGAGTACTCTTGCTGGCCCCCACTTCTGCATTTATCATGCCAGAGTGGGGAAGGAGTCATGACAGGGACAAGAAGGAGCTCCTGCCAGGTGTCAGTCAGGATGGGTAGAAAGCCATGAGAGACATCTGCTTGAGGATCTGACATCTCCTAGAGACAACACTCAATATGGAGAGCTCACAAGGTCTTTGTAGGCAAGCCTAAATGTTTTCTTCAGGTACTCGCAGGTTTCTGGGTTGCTTTAATGTGTCCTTACCTGCGTGGGCATCTCTCAATGTGTCTTTTTCCTTGGTGCACTGGAGATCCAGGACCCACCACTTCTCCCCTTGCACCAGCTGGGAGACTATATTAGGACTGGAGATTGGAAAGTCTGTTGAAGAGAAGGAAAACCAGGGAATGTTTGTCATACAAAATGTTCCCTTATTTTAACCCTACCTTGTTGTAAAATAATAAATTCCCAGGACCACCTCCTCAGGTGCTCAAAGATGCAGAATCCTCTGCTTATGATGGATTACCTACCTCCATCTCTGTTGGGAATACTGTGACAAGGTCAGTGCAGAAGGCTATAACAAATAGTGGAGGGGAAGATATATAATCCTCGGACTGAGGCGATCCCTGCATCTAGAGTAACAGGGAGGGGGTGGTTTAGAACCAGCAGAGGCAGTCAGGGGCACTGGAACACCTGGGGCTAATTGACCAGGGCTGCAGAGTCAGGCCAGCCTAGGCCAATTAGGATACCTATGGATAATTAAGAAAACCAGTTCAGACTGGCTATAAAAGAAGCTGCCTGCAGTTACAGGGTGTGTGCAACTGGGAGGAAGTAGGAGAGCACCATTGGGAGCAGGCATGCACAACTAGGTGGACAAACGGGGGGGAAGAAGGTGCTGGGGAAGTAACCCAGGGATCTAGGTGCTGTATTAGAGCAGGTGTTGGGGATTTACATGAGCAGCTACTATCACAGTGCCCTGGTCTGGAAGCCTGAGTTGAGGGTGGGCTCGGGTTCCCCCCAACACGCACCTCCCCACTTCCACTCAGGCTACGTCTACACTGGGGCTATGTCTACACTCGTGGCTTCTTGCACAAGTATGGCCGTTCTTGCGCAAGAATCCACAGAGTGTCCACACTGCCCGCCCGCTCTTGCGCAAGGGAATTTACAGTATGGTGTGGTAAGAGAGGGCTTCTTGTGCAAGAGCTACGCTCTTTTTTAACAGGTGTAAGCCCTCTTGTGCAGGAGCTCTTGCACAAGAGGGCAATGTGGATTCACAGCAGGGATTTCTTGCACAAAAAGCCCTATGGCTAAAATGGCCATTGGAGATTTCTTGCGCAAGAGAGCGTCCACACTGCCATGGATGCTCTTGCGCAAAAGCAGAGTTCGCACATGGGAGTGTGGACATTTTCTTGTGCAAGACTTCTTGCAGAAGAACCCTTGCACAAGATGTTCTTGCGCAAGAAGCCGTGAGTGTAGACATAGCCTAAGAGTTTTGCTGGAAGAGGCAATGCAAATGAAGCATGGATTAGCATTTTTCTTGTGCTTCATTTGCATAATCTTTTCTGGTCTGTTTTTGCGAAAGGGGCTTTTGTGCAAAAACAAGCAGTGTGGACGTTTCCTTTTTGTGCAAAAACCCCTGACCCACACTGGATGCATTGGGCATGTCCATCAGATATTGGGACGGACCTCCTGCATGTCAGGCATCCCTTAAAGCCTAGAAAGCTTGACATAATTATTCTACTGCTAACTAAGGGAAGAGTAGGGAAATCAGGGCAAAACAGTTATTTCTGGAGGGAAAAGGGAGAAGGCACCAACAACTAGAGGGAAAAATGTAACACTAATAGCTATCTAAAAATAAACCATCTAAAGCCAGGACACATGGAGCGCTGCTGGGTTCTGACCAAGCCTGGAGCTGTTGAGAAGGAACTGAGAGATGGTTGACGGAATGCTCCTGCCGGCGTGAGCGGTGCCATGCATGCCCGCCAGCACCCAGAGAGGAGGGATACTGCTGCTAAAAAGTTCTGATTATAAGCAGAGGAGCGCCAAGACACCTACAGTGGAGCGCCCACTGGGACTCTCCTTGGAGTAGAACACCATGTCCCAGAAAGTGAAGACACTGTCTAGAGGAGAAGCCCCCCTGAAATTGCTTCTTGCTGACACAATGAGACCCAGCGACAGTGTAAAAAGACCGAAGGAAGCTGGGACCACTGAGAATGGGCTAGCGGTGTCTGGTGTGATAAGGAAGAAGAGGGAGGAAGGATGGCATTGAATGCAGCCTTCACTCACCCCTTCCACTGAGACCCTGAATTCCCAGCCTTCTGCACCCTTCCCCACTCCTGCACCCTCCTCCCCGGCCAGACACCTGCCCCCAGCCTTCTCCTACACCCTCCCCTCCTAATGCACCCTTCCCCCGGCCAGACACTCTTCCCCCCCAACTGCTCCTGCACTCCCCAGCCAGATACCTACCCTCAGAAAGAGGGGGATTGGTGAGCATAGTGAGCAGGGTGCAGAGCCCACAGTAGGTTGGACAAACACCTGTCAGGGATGGTCTCAGGCTAGCTGGTTACACCAGGGGATGGTATGGGCTGGTCTAGTTGATCTTTCAATGTGTCTTCCAGTGCTACATGTCTAAAATTCTATAATCTTCCCCACATGCTGGGCAATTTTCATGCTCCCTACTACAACACCTGACTCCATCATTCCTCAAAATGTGCTTTTCTGACTTTTAATACCTCTGGGTATGTCTACACTACCCCGCTAGTTCGAACTAGCGGGGTAGTGTAGACATACCCAGAGGTATTAAAAGTCAGAAAAGCACATTTTGAGGAATGATGGAGTCAGGTGTTGTAGTAGGGAGCATGAAAATTGCCCAGCATGTGGGGAAGATTATAGAATTTTAGACATGTAGCACTGGAAGACACATTGAAAGATCAACTAGACCAGCCCATACCATCCCCTGGTGTAACCAGCTAGCCTGAGACCATCCCTGACAGGTGTTTGTCCAACCTACTGTGGGCTCTGCACCCTGCTCACTATGCTCACCAATCCCCCTCTTTCTGAGGGTAGGTATCTGGCTGGGGAGTGCAGGAGCAGTTGGGGGGGAAGAGTGTCTGGCCGGGGGAAGGGTGCATTAGGAGGGGAGGGTGTAGGAGAAGGCTGGGGGCAGGTGTCTGGCCGGGGAGGAGGGTGCAGGAGTGGGGAAGGGTGCAGAAGGCTGGGAATTCAGGGTCTCAGTGGAAGGGGTGAGTGAAGGGACTGGGGGTACAGATTCTCAGCAGGATGGTGAAGGGGCTGGAGATGGGAGGTCTTGGCATGGTAGCGAGTGAGGGTGCAGGGTCTCAGGTTGGGGGGGTATGAGTGAGTGGGCTGGAGGCACATGAAGGAGCTGGGGATGCAGGGTCTCGGCTGAGGGGGTGTGAGAAATAGGGCTGGGGGTGTGGGAAGGCTCTTTGGCTCCCAGCCCTCCCCAGCGGCTCTCCCCAGGGAGGTCAAGTGGCTCCCAACCCCCTACCCGCAAAGGGGAGGGTACACTGTGCTCCTGGCTCTCCCCCCCCACCCCCGCAAGGGGGGAGGGTGTGTGGCTCTTGAAACCAACCCCCATGAGGGGGAGGACACGCAGCTTCCAACCTGCAGCACCGGGGAGAAAGGGGAGAGGGACGGAAGAGGCAGGGCAGCTGAGGGCAGAGGAGGTAGCAGACAGAGCAATGTGATGATGTCATTCTGTTGTCCCTCAGGACATTTTTTTTATATAGAGAGACTGGAGGGGCTGCACCCCCTGCTTGCTATGCTCCCCCCTCCCCCCCCAGCTGCTTTTGCTTTGCTGAGAGAGCTTGTCGATGCTGATGATGCCATTCTGTCACGTCAGAAAAAATTTTTATATAGAAAGTGAGATTATTATAGGTTACCAAGGACAATGGGGGTCCCTATTTCAGTAATTAGCTCCCTTTCTAGTTAGAAACATACCCCTACTATTTCACCTACATTTCCCGCAGACTGAGCCAAGACTCTACACTGGCACCATCCTTTTTATAGGACACCATAACATTTTTGAACATCAGCTGGTTCAACTCTCAGCTTTCTTTTTTCAAAACTAAAATTGTCCTGTTTCTTTAAAAAACTTTCACTGGAGGCAAAGTTGGCTACATTTTTTATTTTTGTTGCTTTCTTCCCGACGCTCATATTTTCACACTTATAGTAAGATGCTAAGAACAGGGCACAGTACTCCAGCTGAAGACTCCCCTGTGCCAAATAGAGCAGGAAAATTACCACCCATCTCTTCCATCTGATACTCCTGGTATTCCACCAAATAATGGCATTAGCTGTATTTGCAACTGAATCACAGGGTAGACTCATATTCACTTTGTTATCCACTATCAACTCACATCTTTTGCAGCGGTGCTGCCACTCGGAGCCAAGTAGATCACATTTTGTAATTGTGCATTTGATTTCTTCCTTCCTAGGTGGAGCACTTTGCTCTTACCTTTACTTAGTTTCACCATATCTAGTTTCAGACCAAATCCCCAGTGTGTCAAAGTGATTTTAGATTCCAAAGTGCTCACAACCTTCCCAGCTTGGAGCCAGTCACAATTTTTATAGGTAGATTCTCCACTCCATTATCCTTGCAATCAGTTAAAATATTGAACAGTACCAAACCCAGGGCTGACTTCTTAGAGATCACTTAGATACACCCTTGAAATAGGAGGGCTAACTATTAATAAGTACTCTCTGAGTACTGTCTTTCAAACAGCTGTGCACTCATCATATCATAGTTTATCTACCCTATATTCTGCTCACTTCCTTATGAAATGTCATGTGGCGCTGGATCACTATTCTCAAAATCAAGTTGTAACAACTGTGATGTTATTGGCTTCTAATATAAACTTAGAGATCAATTGCAATTGCTGTGATATGTTGGCAACAAACCTTGTACAAAGTGTCTCCAGTGAGATGTTTATGAAAAAGCTCATGGTTTACTAGTTATGCTTATATTATTTATGTGTGTGCATCAATTTTGTATTTGAAGTTATGAGTATTGGTTAGGTACTTGCATTTCCAAAGTTTGCTTCTGGGAGACATCACTAGGAGATCTGGCCAGCCCACTGTAAATGGACTTTTTAGGCTGAATAGAACTACTTGACAGGCAATGGGCATTAGGAGGTGCCAATCCTTAGCTTATAAGACTGTGTGTGAATGTTCAGACCAGCATGGAGCCATGGTTTCAACCTGTAAAGAACCGAGTCTTGCCTGGACAGGTGACTTGCTCATGGAACAAATTCCATCTTGTAACTGTACTTTTCCACAATAAGAACAATGAAATTCCCTCCACAGCAGGGAAGATATATAGAAGGCCTTGGAAATCCTTCCATTTTGTCTTCAATCCTGCTTCTCACCCGTGGAGGGTCTTTGGTATAAACTGAAGCTCAGAACAAAGGACTGATGACCCATCCAATGTGGATGTACTCCAGAGACTTTGCGTAAACCAGCTGTTTATTCCATGACTGCTATAGGCCAGCACCCAGAACTTTGCAATTGTTCTATTTGATTCCTTTAACAGTGTTAACTCTCCCACTTCCTTTCTGTACATGAATAAACCTTTAGATTTTGGATTCTAAAGAATTGAAAACAACATGTTTAGGGGTAAGATTCTAAGTTATAAGATGCCCTAGAAATGTGGCTTATCCTTTGGGATCAGAAGTTCTTATACTTCATTTGATTGGTTTTCATAACCTCTTATCTGTACATGGGGCCAGCCTGAGTCATTTTGGCACCCCGTGCGGGCAGTGCCGTCCTGGGCTATGGCGCATGTGTGGGCCTGCTCCCAGGGTGTGTGGGCCCACCCCTGGGCGCACAGCGCATGCACAAGCCTGCCCTCTCGGGGTGTGCGGGCCCGCCTACAGGCACACGCGCGAGCCTGCCCCCAGGATCCATGGGAGGGTGCACAGCGCATGTGCTGCCCAGCCACCACCGCTGGCGCACAGCCAGGGGGTGCCCAGGTGGGCTGCACCTAGCCGTGCAGGGCCCCGCAGCTGCGAGGGGGAAGGGCACTGCGGGGGTTAGCCAGTACGGAGAACAGAATTTCTCTTTGTGACTGGTTTGGTGTACAATGTAACTGTCGTCCCACCCCCAGGACTCCTTATTACAATTGTTTTGATTCCCCCATCTACTAGGTCAGTAACCCTGTTTAAAGGAATTTGGTTGGTTTGGCACGATTATTATAATTGCCATGAAGTACACATGCGTGCTCACATTGTCTTGAAATCTGCTACTCTTTACTGGCATGCCAGACAAGGCAACTGGTTGAAATTTGGGTTTATTGATCAAGGGACTTCTGAAATACAGGACTCCCTCCCAAAAGCCACAATTTACTAACACACCAGACTCTTGTGACGTTTTGGTCACACCTCAGCTGGAACTAAGGTTTTAATTGTCCCCCCAATTGATCTCAGGCACTTGTCATTTACATCAGTTAGGACATGGCACTGACTGACAACGAGTGCTGCAGGGCGGAGGGGGAGTAGATTTCAGATTGGCAGGAGTCCAACTGACAAATCAAAGAGATGGAAATGCTGACATGCAGCAAGACTGAGGCTCTGTTAGTAATCAGAGAGTATCCAGCAATCTGCCGGCACAGTAATTGGCTGGCTGGAGGAGGGGATAGGCTATGGGGATTGTACCTGAACTACACCCATGCATTGAATTTGAGTCCCACAAGTAGTAGTTTTTGGACACAGCGTGTGGTGTATTTTTATTGCCTTTTGAATGAGCTTCTTTTAGAAGTTTTGCCATCTGATACCAAAGTTCTTTTATCCAAAGGCAAACTTTTATCTGGTCTAAGCTTAAAAGCACTGCCAACATTGCCCTCTGGGTTAGGCATGTGAAAAAAAAATCATACCCTTAACAGAAATAATAGCAAAATATAGTAAAAGTACAGTTAAAGTGGCAAAATAAAGTGCATTACAAAATCAAGAAAATAAAATGCCCATAAACTACATAAATACAGTTAAGGTTACTCAAGGCTGCCTCATGCCCTTCCAGCATAGGAGTGGGGGCTATATTAAACTTCTGAAAACGAAGAGTTAAAGTACACTCCACCCTGCATCCACTAACGCTGAAGCTGGCAAAAGCCACTGTGAACGTGGTTAGGGGTCACATTGGCTCATTAAGCAGCCCAGGAAAAATATATTATCTCATGCCCTGACCCACTATGGCTGCCAGGCAGGAGTGTCTGGGGGGTGGGCGGGCAAAGGAGGGAAGTCTATGTGCAGGAGCACAGGATGGGCAGACAGAGCGGGACAAGCCTCTGCACATAAACCTCTCTCCAACAGGAGCACCAGGCAGGTGGGAAGAGCGAGGAGGATCCTGGGATGGATAGAGGTGGATGGGAAATGTAGACAGGAGTCAGGAGGGGCCTTCACTTGGTCTGGCCCAGGACCCCACAAATCCCTAATCTGCCTCTGGGTATAAGAATGGTGCAGAGGTTATGAGCTATCATGGGAAGTAGAGGGGTCTCCTGATGAGGTCTGCACTTGAAGGCTTGAGGCCTTTCTGGCAGGTAATTTAGTCAGACACCAGGTGCTCTGCTCAGGACAGCGGTGACAGGATGGAATTCTATGGTCCGTGTGATACAGGAGATCTGAGATGAGCTAATAGCCTTAAAATCTACCAATCTATAACAGACACGAGGAAGGGCTAAGAACATGTCATTGCGTGTGTTGTACAGATGGGGAATACCAACATTTATCCTCCTTCCCCCCAGCTGTGTGCACTGGGGCAGCTGTAGCGGTGACTGGATAGCACAGGTATTAGCTGGAGCAGCTTGGCAGAGCTGTGACTGGAATGAAGAGAGGTGCATGTGAATATTGAGGGATCTGGTCTGCCCCATTTCAGGGCTCAGCATTATGGCTATGATAGCAGAGGTACACAAGGAGGAGTTCTTGCCTTGGGGATTGGCAGCCAGCTGGTGGCAAACATCCTAGTGGCCCAGGGGTAAGTGAAGCAATGGCTCAGAAGGGATCCTCACGGGAAGGATAAACTGGGGGAGGGGAGGAGTTTTTGAACGTGTGTTTTGGTTTGTGTGGAGGAAGCTCAGAACAGGTATGGGCAGCCTCCATTCACTAGATCAGACCTAAGCCCCAGTTCTGCCTTAGCAAAGAGAAGATGTTACACTTGGTGCTGTGCTGCTCTTATGCCCTGTTCCCAGAGTGTTCTGTAGCGGGGGAGGGTAGAGCGCTAGTGTGGGGTGATGCTAAAACGGGGCAGAGCAGAGGTTGCATTGTGCAGTGATGTGCACTCAAATTGATCATTTCCCCTTCTACAAAGAGCGGGGACAGGACTCTTACCCAGCAAGGTCATGTTCTCATGCTTCTCCTGCATGTTGGCTCTGTAGAGGGCTCTCTGAGTAGGATCCAGCAGAGCCAACTCTGCCCTGGTGAAAGACACAGCCACCTCCTCCGTCACCGGCCCCTGGAAGAGCAAGAGCCCTTGTCAAGGCTGTTCCCCACTTTGGCACTCTGAGTGCAGAAGGTGGGGGCCCACAACAAACCTTAAAAATACCTTGCCTGTATAGGCTTCTGCTTAAAAGATCCTCAAGGTCACAGATTTCCTGGCCTTGGAGGTAGCTCCCACCACTAGCTGAAACAAAGAACCCTTTCTTCTAAACCCAGGAAGAAAGCACTTGGACTTCTTCCAGAGGGGTACCCCCAACCTCTTTTACCACAAGAGTGCTGTGAAAAAAAAAAAGAAAAAACAAGCTGCAATTTCTGATAGCTGACCTCTCAGTCTTAGGCACGAATACACAGATCTCCTATTACCCTCCAGGACACAAGAATCAAATCATCGCCTTAAAAATGGTGATTTTATTAACAAAATGAAAAGATATGTTTGATAAAGCATGCTTGGTTCCTAGGAGTTTTAAAGCAATTGAGAAAAAAAAAAAACAATTTAAAAACACAGAGAAATTTCCATCCCTGGGATACAGCTTAAAGTAGTGTTTAGATGGAGGAGGGGGTGAGCTGTGGACTTAGCACAGAAAAGTTTAACCAAACAACAAAACAAGAAAATGATCTGATTGTGTCTGAACAGATATTTCTCTATCTACTCACAACCCGTCCTTCAAGGTCCAGTCCATTTCCATGCCCAGTATTCTCTGTAGGCACGATAGTTCTGCCTGGTTCAATTAATCTTATTTCCTCACCTCTTAGCTTAAAACTCACACAAAGGAAGACAGCAGGCAGGTATATCTTCCAATTCAAATCTCAACACCTTCTCCTATTGGCCCTCCTAGCTCCCTGCCAACACTCCTTAGCTACCCAAGTTTAACCCTTTAGTTACTGAATGCTGGGCTGTTCAGAAAAGGCCAGCACTCCTACTATCCATGCATCACCCCCCAAATCCCAGACAGTACTGGACAGGTTGGTCCACACTGACTGTGATTTCTCCTTGGAGGTTTAGGCGAGAACATAGTTAATAATATACCTGCACACTCTAAATTCACTACTGAATATACAATGAACAAAACAAGATCCCCTGCATTCACAGAATACAATGAGTTAGATGCAGGGAGAATTTTAACTGACTTAGTCTGGGAAACTTTCATGGGAGAGTTCATCAGCTACTTTTTTAGAAGCTCCCGAGATGTGTTATATGTCAAAGTCTTAGAGAGTCAAACTCCACCGAAGGAGTTTCTTGTTAGTCTCTTTGACTCTGTAAAGCCACTTCATAACAGAATGGTTGGCTTGCAGATGAGTGTTGTCCCCAAATATATGATCGTAGCTTCTCTAAAGTGTATACAATGGCATAGCATTCCTTCTCAGAGACAGACCAGTGGCTTTCCCTCTGAGAGGATTTTTTCCTGAGGAACACAACAGGGTGGAATTGTTGATCAGGTCCTGTTTCCAACAAAACTGCCCTCACATATGCTCTGACATATCTGTGGTGGCAAAGAAAGGTCTGTTGTAGTTTAGGGCCTCAGGACAAGGTCAGTCATAAGAACAGCCTTAAGCTGCTTAAAAGCTTCTGACACTTCCCAGTCCACCTAACTGTCTTTGGTTGCTTATTTTATGGTCAGGTCTGTCAGTGGTGCGGCAAGCTGTCTGCAGTGCGGTTCAAATCACCCATAATCGCCTGTGCTCTGGCAGCTGCACTGGCTTTCGGTATGTTTCTGAATTCCATAATTCAAGGTCTTGGTTATGACTTATAAAGCCCTAAATGGGTCGGAACTGGGGTATTTGAAGGATCGTCTCCTCCCTTACGAACCTGCCCAGGGACTGAGGTGAGCTGGGGAGGCTCTGCTCCATGTTCCTCCACTTATGGAGATACTGTTAACATCTATGCAGAACAGGACCTCCCTCCCAAAAGCCACTATGGAATTCTCTTCCTCGGGACATTAGTCTGGCACTTACGTTGGCACTGTTTCAGCGCCACCCTTTTTAACCCATGGTTTTAGTGGTGTTTGAGTTTGTGTATGTGTCCCTACTCCTGAAGTATCTTAACAGGTTTTATGTCCCCGCTTTGGGGGTCTTATATATTCATACAGTCCCACATGTGAAATGAAGGTGGACTTTTCCTTGGCTGACGCATCTAGAGGTAGTTGCCAGTATTCCTTGGTTAAGTCTAGGGTACAGATGAACTGGGCATATCCCAGTTTCTCCAACAGCTCATCTGTGTGTGGCATTGAATAGGTTGTCTGGGCAACAACAGCATGGCCACTAGAGTGATCATGGACTAAACTCAAGAGTTTTTCCCTGAACCTAGTTGGAACTACCAACTGTTTTTGAGTTGCTAGTCCTCTTTGTAACCACCAGAAAGAGCGTCTTTGTATAAAAGTCCTCTACCGCAACCCTGGACCTGTTAGAAGAGCTGAGAGGGGGTGACTCACTCTGAGCCACCATCCAAATTCCCCTCAGGCTTTCATCTGCTTCCTGTTCTGCCTGGAACTGTTCCCTTGATGCTGCAGACATCAGCACCCTGCTGGGTTGTGGACTTGGGCTCGGTCCCTCTGGAAGTGATGCAGGTGATGTGGGTGTGTCTGCCGGCTGTGAACTGCTCTCTGATGGTGAACTGGGTTGTGTTGCAGGCTCCGACGGTGCCTCTTGTGCAGACACAGTTGCTGCTGTAGGTTCCGTGGTGCCTTTTCTGCTGCTGGTTCCAATCCCGGCACTGGCTGCTCCACCAGCTCAGGCTCTTGGGCTGGTTCCATCTGGATTCCAGGAACTGGATCCACTGCTGCCGTTGTAGTCGCTGGTCTGGGGTATGGCTCTGCCATCTCCATCTGGGACTCTGGCTCTGGAGTGTCTGGAGATACAGCAGGTGTGGAGGACTGCTTAGCCCTGCTGTGGGTGACCATTCCCACCTTCTTAGCTTGTTTCACATGGTTGGCTAAGTCCTCTCCCACCAGCATAGCAATGGGATAATCATCATAGACTGCAAAAGTCCAAATTCCTGACCAGCCCTTGTACATAACAGGCAACTTGGCTGTAGGCAGGTCAAAAGAGTCTGCCTTTAAGGGTTGAACAGTCACTTGAGGCTCTGAGTTGATAATTTCAGTGCCCACAAGGGACTAGTGGATCACGGATATCTGTGCTCTAGTGTCTCTCCTCGCAATAACCTTCTTCCCACCCACACTTAGTTTCTCTTCGCTCTGGGGGTATCTGAGAGGCATCTGGGTCAGAAGACTCTTGGTGTGACCCCAGTGCAATGAACTGCACTCAGCTGATGCTCCTGGGGCAGCTGGCCTTCACTTGCCGCAGCTCATTACATTTAAAACATTGCCCAGCTTGTGTGTAACTGGAGTGAGGTAGATTCCAGAGAATGGGGTTGTGGGATGAGAGGATGTCTGTGGCTTCCCTTGGGGTTCGCTGCAAGGTAGGCGGATGGAATGCCCCCGGTGGCGGGATGCCATCTCTGGATGCCCCTTCTGGTATTCCCTCAAATGGCTGTCAGTTTTGTCCCTCCATCAACTCCAGCCACCTGGCTCCAATTTCCTCCTGCCCGTTATGGTTTTGGGTTTCCCATCTTGGATGTATCTTTGGTGCTCTTTAGGAACTGTTCCATTTGCATCAGGAAAGATAGCTCTTCCATAGTCTTAACATTTGCTCCTGACATTCATGTATCCCAGGTTTTTTTAAAAAATCTGACAGGTATGTTGGGTCAATGCCATGTCTGGTTTCCACCTTAGGGCCCTGAACTGGCAATAAGCATGTTTGGCGGTGAGCCCCATCCTAATACTGCCCTCTTGTTTAAAAAGTTCATAATCATTCATGTTTCCCCCAGGCATTTCAGCTGCCACTTCTGCTAAGGATCCACTGAGTTGTGGTCTCAGCTCTGTCATGTGCTGGTCTTTGGGGATGTTGTACCCAAGACAGGCTCTTTCAAAATTCACTAAGATGGCGTCTGCATCATCTCCTATCTTTGTTCATTGCACTTGCACTAGTTCATTGCACTTGTCCACCGGGTTTTTCTTGGGTTGGGAAGCATTGGTTGGAGCAGGATGGTTAGTCAGTGTAGTTCAGAGTGCTCAGCTTCTTAGCTATCTCCAGTTCAACTTCTAACCTCCTCATTTCCACTTCCGCTTCTGAACTCTTCATCTGCAGGAAGAACTCGATCTCACCTTTAGAGGTCTGTCTGCCTTAAGGACACTTTCTCTCCCTGAGGACAGTGGTATGTGAGGGACATGGCTGCCCCCCTCTGCTCCTGCCCCCACAAGGTTACTCCCCGCTGGCCTCACAGGGCCATTTTCTTGTCCCTCTCCTCGTTGTACGAGTCTTCTGCGGAAGTGGACATTTCATCCTGATTTGAGGCTGTTTTCACGTTGGTATTTTGCTCCAGGGCTACTCTGCCTGACCGCAAATGCATACCCTGGGTTGCTTCCCTGCCTTACTCTAGCCAAGCTATCCAACTGCCCCAAAAGCTAGAAAAAAACCCAAAACAACTGTTTGGTTTGGACATGTGGGCTGTGAAGCTTTAACCTTGTGTGTACCTTTCCCCCACAGGAAGGAAAAGGAAAACAAAAAACAAAAAAACACAAAACGTCCAAACAGCAAAACAACAAAAAGGTGTTCTTCTAAAATCTTGAGGTCTGTGTTCCTGGTCGAAAATGATCCCACCAGTGCTGCAGTCATGTCAAGGCTATTTCCCGTTATGGTACTCTAAATGGAGAAGGTAGGGGGGCCCACAACAGACTTCAAAAATACTTTGCCTCTATAGGCTTCTGCTTAAAAGCGCCCAACCCTCACGGATATCCTGGCCTTAGAGGTAGCTGCCCTCACCAAGTGAAACTTCTTTCTGAGGGGTACCCCCAATCTCTTTTACCATGAGTGTTAAAAAGAGAGAGAGAGAGAGAGAGAGAGAGAGAGAGAGAGAGCGAAAAAACAAGCTGCAATCTCTGATAGCTGACCTCTCAGTCTTAGGCAAGAATACACAGACCTCCTATTACCTCCAGGACACAAGAATCAAATCATGGCCTTAAAATATGGTGATTTTATTAACAAAACAAAAAGATATATTTAATAACACATACTTGGTTGCTAGGTATTTTAAAGCAATTGAGAAAAGAACAGTTTAAAAACACAGAGAAATTTCCATCCCTGGGATACAGCTTAAAGTACAGTGTTTAGGGAGGGAAGTGGGTGAGCTGTGGACTTAGCACAGAGAAGTTTAACCAAACAACAAAACAAGAAAATAACCTGATAGTGTCTGAACAAATATTTCCCTATCTACTCACGACCCGTCCTTCAAGGTCTAGTCCATTTCCATGCCCAATATTCTTTGTAAGCATGATAGTTCTGCCTGGTTCAATCCACCTTGTTTTCCCAATTCCTAGCTTAAAACTCACATAAAGAAAAACAGTAGGCAGGTATATCTTTCAATACCTTCTCCTATTGGCTCTCCTAGCTCCCTGCCAATAACTCCAGGCTACCTGAGTTTAACCCTTTAGTTACTGAATGCTGGGATGGTCAGCACTCCTCCTAGCCATCACACGCCACCCAATCAGCACCTGCTGTCCCACTCTCAGCCTCATTAGTCATGAATAAAGAAACCCAATCAAAATGCTTAGAGGAACAAGAGGCATCCGTGAGGTGAGAAAGAGAGAACCCCTTTTCCCCCCGCCAGGCAAGAGGATGGAGTGACTTAACGACTAAACAGGGGCCAATACACTACATGAAGCCCCTAGAAGAATTCAGGGACACCCTGATGAGAAACCCAACCCCTACTCTATTCTGGCTGCTGGATGTGAGGGGAGGGGCAGCTCCGCTAAGCCCCACTGTGACTGCCCCCTTCATATTTCCCAGCAGCTGCAGATTCATAAGTTCAGGCTCCAGCACTAAAAGCCCGGTAGGTTTTCCCAGCTCTATCCAGGGGAATTGCTTCCTGTTCCAAAAATTAAGACATTTCCATTCCAAACCCTAAGGGTCTGTTCCTTGACTTAAGGAACAAGGTGACACCAGTACCAGCAGCTTTGTCACAACTTGTGCACCTCTTTCTGCACCTCTGCATAGTTTCTGCCTCTTCCCACCCACAGATCAAACTCCCTAGACCAGGAGTCACCAACGCCTCGATCGTTATCTCTGGGCCACTAACATCCAGCAGCGCAGCAGTGCTTAGACAGGCTGTCAGCAAGCTGCTGGCTCCTCTCTGTGCTGCCCTTGGCGAGAGGGGAACAGTGCAACTCTGCAAGCTGTCTGCGCCCAAAGCTCCCATTAGCTGGCAGGTGCGCCCCACAGGGCTGAAGCCTTGAGACCCCCTCCAGTGTTCTCTCTAAAATTTTCTATCCTTGGGTGGGTTGAATTTTCTTTTGGGCGGGTTAAAATTTCTCACATGAACCCCTGATATTGAGATGGTGATGCACATCCACACACACACTAATACAAACAAAATGCACACATGTAATTTTAAGCAGTCCATATGTGTGAAGGAAAATGTATTAAAACAAGGGATATTTAATAAGGAGCAATGCACATGATATTTAATATGAAATCAAATAAAAAAGAAAATTAACACTACCCTTGGAGAGTACATGTATCAACCTTTCTAACAGCTCAATCTAGTACTTGCTATGTCTGACTCATAAGAGCCAGAACTCTACCAAATAGAAAGATCTGGTCTTAATGAAATACACTATCCCATGTATTAATTAGTAACACACATTTTAAAAAAATCATTAAGGTCAGAGTTTTAGATCTTTGCAACACTCCAAAACCATTCTATTAAAAGAATCTTTTTCTTTCGTAAGCCATTAACACCTTATGCAAACTTTGAAATGCAGTCATGCAAATGTCCTGGCACACACACTTCCCTTGCAGCCTGCTCCCCCACTCAACCCAGTCAGAGAGAGGACTGCAGCTAGTCAGACACCCCAAACAAACTGCCCCCTGCCACTACCCACTGCACAGATGTCAGCACCCACTCTCCTCTCTTCCCCATCCCTTTATCTCCCTCTTCCCGGGAAGCTTGAGTGCTGAGTTTCTGCCTCTCTCCCCTCCTGCAGAGGGATGCTCAAAACACCCCTCCCCTTTGACTCATCATCAGCCAATTACTTACTTACTAGCTCACTCATTCCCTCCCCATAACCCTAGCCATTAATTGTCTCCTTATCTCTCTTTTTACCAGCTCTGGGAGGCTCCTCAGTTCAAGTAGGCAGCTAGCTCCCTTTAGTGAAACACCACTCCCCGCGCTGTTCAGGTGAGCTCCCTGCCTACGTGGGACCTTTGGACTTCTGAGCAGAGCTCAGAAAACTGCTGTGAGAGCACACAGGCATGCAGCTTACAGGGAAACTTGTCCCCCCTCCTCAATGCCCAGAAGATAGAGGTGATTTTTTTTCTGGGAGCTGCAGCTGTGGGGAGAGCAGCGGCCATGGGAAAAGAGAGCCTGCCTGAGGATCCTGCTGGGTTACTGGCTGGAAGCTACTGAGCCAGCCAAAGCCTGCACAGGATTCCTCACCCCCTCCCAAACCTCAACTCCCTGCCCCAGGTCACCACCCAATCCTGAAACTCCGGTCCTCATACCCCGGGTCACAACTCCCTCCCAAACCCTGCACCATTACTATACTCCTCCCCCAGACCAAAATCATCCCCTCTCTCTCATACTCCTTCCCCTCCCTGTTATAACCCAATCCCCGGCCAGGTCATAACTCAAACCCTCTGCACCCCTCCACGAGTCCAGAATCCTCATCTGTACCTATTTCCCCTCCCCAGACCCTGGTTTCCAACATCCTGCCCCAGGTCACAATCCCCTCTTTCATCCAAACTACCTCACACTCACTCACTCCTGCAACCCAATTCCCTATCCCAAGCTCCCTTCTGCACCCAACCTTCAACCCAGACCACACTCCCACTCCATAGAGAAGTGTAACCCCATATCATTTAACAAAATCTTGGAGTGCCCCCTAAGAAAACAATTATTGCCCACGTCTGCCCAAGGTCTCCTCCTCCAGTACCGAAACCTGAAGCTCTGCTACCTCCCAGTCTAGAGGGCTGAAAATGAGGAGAGGGGGCGGGAGACTCCACATACAACACTTCAACTAAAAAAGCCACTCGTGAGAAGCCTTTTGACTACCATACGGCACAGATCAAAAATAACATTGCTAGACGTGAAGGAAAAGAAGGGAATCCGTCCAACTCACCCCACTTCCCTCAGATGTCATAGAGGTTAAAGTGAACCCCCATTCCCACTGCTCTTGTTATATTTAATATATTTTCAAAGAGAAAAATTATACAAAAAGAACTGAAGAAATGTGCAAGATGAGTCTGCCCATGGTGCAAAGACTCTGTCTTTAGCTGTGTATTTACATCAGAGTAGCAAACTCAAGCTAGCAAAGTCCATGAACAAGCTAGGGGAGACAAGGTCCAGGTAGAGATTTCCTTAATGTAGTTAATTGTGGTCAGCACTATCTTCCCCATGTGGGGCTGATGGAAATTTCTGAGAGGCAGGACACATGCTCAAAAGACTAAGGAGCTGAGAAAAAGACCATGGGAAAGACCCCAAAGAATGATAATTTGCAAATGCAAAAGCTGGCAAGTCGCATGAGTGAGCTGAGGGAACACAGCAAAGAAATGGTGGAAACAGCTTTACAGGTAACTATGTGGGGATTAGCAAAAGACCTACAGGAAAAAAATTGCTTGTTACGCTTACATAAGATTTTTGTTGTTCATCTCCCTTGCAGATTCTCTGATGGTAAATGAGACGTAAAGTCTGAGTGAAGCTTTTCCCACACAAGGAGCATTTACAGGGTATCTCCCCAGTGTGGATCCTCTGATGCCTAATAAAATCAGCCCGCCGAGTGAAGCGTTTCTGGCATTCAGAGCACTCATAGGGTCTCCTTGCTTTGTGGATCCACTGATGTTTACTAAAGACTGAGTTGTCACTGAAGGTTTTCCCACATTCAGAACATTCATAAGGTCTCTCTCCTGTGTGAGTTCTCTGATGATTAATAAGGGATGAACTGTAAACAAAGCTTTTTCCGCACTCACGACATTCGTAGGGTCTCTCGCCCGTGTGGATTCTCTGATGTGTAATAAGGTGTGAACGCCTAGTGAATCTTTTCTTGCACTCGCTGCATTCAAAGGGTCTCTCTCCTGAGTGGTGTCTCATATGTGTAATAAGCTGTGGCCTCCGAAAGAAGGCTTTTCCACACTCGCTGCATTCATAGGGCCTCTCTCCAGTGTGGAGTCTCTGATGTCCAATAAGATGGGCGCGCCGAGTGAAGGTTTTCCCGCACTCACTGCATCTATGGGGTTTCTCTTTTGTAAGGATTGTGTCATGGTGAGTAAGGTCTGTGTGGCTCCTGATGTTTTCCCCACATGTAGTGCTTGGGTTGTCTGTCTCTCCCAGGAGAATTCTCTGCTGCGCTGTGGATTCCTTGAATTGTGTTTGCATTCTCCCACAACTGGTGGATAAACTGGCTTTCTTCCCTGACTGATTTCCTTGCTGTTTCTCTGGCCTATACTGGCCTTCACAGACTTTTCCAAGCTTGTGACTGCTGGACATATTTCCTTTAGATTTTGGCAATAATCTCTTATGTGCTTCTACTCCCTCAGCATCTTCTTGCTGAGAATTCTGCTCTCTCTTCTCACTCGCCCTCATGTAACCTGCAAGGATAGAGAGAGAAACCTCAGAATGGGCATGGGAAGGGAGAGAACAAACCAAAAATGTTGGAGAGATGGGGGAATGATCAGGAAGTTAATTCCCCGAAGCTCTTCCCAATGAGAGAAAGAGAAGAGAGGATTGCATCTGTTTCTACATCACATCCCAACACTCAGGGGAACAAGAAAGAGATCCTGCCAGGTGTCAGTCAGGATGGGTAGAAAGCCATGAGAGACATCTGCTGGGGACAATGAACATGGAGAGCTCACAATATAGGCAAGCCTAATAGTTTCCTTTATGCACTGACAGTCTTTGAGCTGGTTTAATGAGTCCTTACCTGTGTAGGAGCTTCTCAGTATGTCTTTTTCCTTGGTGCACTGGAGATCTGGGACCTCCCCTGGTACCAGCTGGGAGACTGCATCAGGACTGGAGATTGGAAAGTCTGCTCATGAGAAGCAAACCCAGGGATATCAGTGGAATTTACAGGATGTTAAGTCATACAAAATGTTCCCTTATTTTAACTCTACTTTGTTTTAAAACAATAAAATCCCAGGACCTGCTCCTCAGGTGCTCAAAGATACAGAACACTCTACTTATGGGCTACGTCTAACCTACACCCCTCTGTCGGCAGAGGGATGTAAATGAAGCACTTCAAAAGTACAAATGAAGCAGGGATTTAAATATCCTGTGCTTCATTTGCATAATCGCGTCATGGCACTGTTTCAAACAAGCGCCATTTTAAAACTCAAACTGCAGTTTAGAAGCTTTTTTTTTTGACAACAGGGCGCTTTTTTGAAAGATCCTGTACTCCTCAATTTGGGAGTACAGTATCTTTCGAAAAAGTGCCCAGTTGTCGAAAAAAATGCGTCTAAACCACGGTTTCAGTTTTGAAATGGCGTTTGTTCGAAACAGCACCATGACGCAATTATGTAAATGAATCGTGGGATATTTAAATCCCTGCTTCATTTGTACTTTTGAAGTGCTTCATTTACATCCCTCTGCTGACAGAGGGGTGTAGGTTAGACGTTGCCATGATGAATTACCTAGTTCCATCCCTGCTGAGTGTCTGGCTGCGTGTATTTCCCTTATCAAAGGAGCCCCTAATACACAGGGAAGGTAACCGTGTCCCAGAAAGTGAAGACATTAGTCAGAGGAGAAGGCCCCCTGAAATTGCTTCTTGCTGACAGAATGAGACCCAGTGACAGTGGGGAAAGACAGTAGGAAGATGGGACCATTGAGAATAGGCTAGTGGAGTTTGGTGTAATAAAAGGCAGGAGAAAAAACGTCACTGCATGCAGTATCTGAGAGGTACTAGAAGTCAGAAAAGCACATTTTTGAGGAATTATGGAACACAGAGAATCAGATGTAAAAGTAGGGAGTATGGAAATTGCCCAATGCGTGGAAATTATAGAACTGTAGACATGTAGCACTGGAAGGCACCTTGATACTAGACCATCACTCACCATGCTCTGGCAGAACCAACTAGTCTGAGACAATCCTTGACAAGTGTTTTTCCAACCTGTTCTTAAAAACTTATGACTACAGGGATCCCAACTGCTCTTGGTAACCTATTTCAGTAATAAGCTCCCCTTCTAGTTAGAAAGTTCTTCTGACTATCTAACCTAAATTTCCCATGCTGCAGATTAAGTCAATTATTTCTTGTTCTACAATGGCAGCATCCTTTTTATAGATCATAACATTTTTGAAGATTTTCATCAGGTTCACCTCTCAGCTATCTTTTTTCAAAACTAAAATTGTCTAGTTTTTTTTCTTTAAACCATTCTTTGGAGGGGAAGTTGGCCACATTTTTTATTTCTATTGCGTTCTTCTGGACTCTCTCTAATTTTTTCACTCCTAAAGTAGGATGCTCAGAACAGCATACAGTACTGCAGCTGAAGACTCCACTGTGCCAAAAGGTGTGTCTACCCTTGCCCCCTAGTTCGAACTAGGGAGGCAAATGAAGCATACCGAAGTTGCTAATGAAGCGCGGGATTTAAATATCCCACGCTTCATTAGCATATTCGCGGCCAGTCGCCATTTTAAAAAGCTGGGAGCCCAAATTAACTCGCCGCGTGTAGACGCGGTAGTCCGATCCAAAACCCTTCCCTCGAATTAACTGTTACTCCTCGTGCAATGAGGAATAACAGTTAATTCGAGGGAAGGGTTTTGGATTGGACTACCGTGTCTACACGTGGCGAGTTAATTCGGGCTCCCAGCTTTTTAAAATGGCGACTGGCCACAAATATGCTAATCAAGCACGGGATATTTAAATCCCATGTTTTATTCGCAACTTCGATATGCTTCATTTGCCTCCCTAGTTCGAACTAGGGGGCAAGTGTAGACATACTCAAATACAGCAGGAAAATTACCACCAATTTCTTCCATCTGATACTCCTGGTAATTCACTGAACAATTACATTAGCTTTATTTGAAACTGCATCACAGGATAGACTCATATTCACTTTGTGATCTGCTATCACCCAAGATGTTTTGCAGCAGTACTGTCACTCCTAGCCAAATAGTCCCCATTTTGTAAATGTGCATTTGATTTCTTCCTTCCTAGGTGGAGTACTTTGCTCTTACCTTTACTTAGTTTCATCATACTGATTTCAGACCAAATCTCCAGTTTGTCAAAGTGATTTTAGATTCCAAAGTACTCACAACCTTCCTAGCTTGGAGCCAGCCACAACTTGTATAGGCAGACTCTCCACACCATTATCCCTGCAATCAGTTCAAATATTGAATAGTACCAAACCCAGGGATGACTTCTTAGAGATCACTTAGATACACCCTTGAAATAGGAGGGCCAACTATTAATAAGTACTCTCTGAGTACTGTCTTTCAAACAACTATGCACTCATCATATCGTAGTTTCATCTACCCCATATTCTGCTCATTTCCCTTATGAAATGTCAAATGGCACTGGATCACTATTCTCAAAATCAAGCTGTAACAACTGTGATGTTATTGGCTTCTAATATGAACACAGAGAACATTGTTGCAACCGCTGTGATATGTTGGCAACAAACCTTGTACAAAGTGTACCCAGTGAGATATTTATGAAAAGCTTATGGTTTGCTAGTTATGCTTATATTATTTATGTGTGTGCATCAATTTTGTATTTGAAGTTATGAGTATTAGCTAGGTACTTGCATTTCCAATGTTTGCTTCAGTGGCCAGCCCACTGAAAAGGGACTTTTTAGGCTGAATAGAACTACTTGACTGGCAATTGGCATTAGGAGATGCCAATCCTCAGCTGATAAGACTGTGTGTGAATGTTCAGACCAGCATGGAGCAATGGTTTCAACCTGTAAAGAACCGAGTTTTGCCTGGACAGGTGACTTGCCCATGGGACAAACTCCATCTTGGAACTGTACTTTTCCATACAGAGAACAATGAAATTCCATCCACAGGAGGAAAGATATATAGAAGGCCTTGGAAATCCTTCCATTTTGTCTTCAATTCTGCTTCTCATCCATGGAGGGTCTTTGGTATAAACTGAAGCTCAGAACAAAGGACTGATGGCCCATCCAATATGGATGTACTCCAGAGACTTGGCATAAGCCAGCTATTTATTCCATGACTGCTACAGATCAGCACCAAGAACTTTGCAATTGTTCTATTTGATTCTTTTAACAATTTTAACTCTCACCCTGCCTTTCCTTCTATGAAGAAATGTTTAGATTTTAGCGTCTAAAGAATTAGAAACCACATCGTTAGGGGTAAGATTCTTTGTTATAAGTTGAACTAGAAATATGGCCAGTCCTTCAGGATCAGAAGAAACTTTAAAGTTGATTCGATTGGTTTTCATAACCTCTTAACTATACAAGGAGCATTACTGGTGGTAGCACAAGAGAAAAGTGTCTAAGGGAATGGTTTGTATAATTTCTTGTTAGCCAGTGCGGAGAATAGAAGATCTCTTTGTGACTGGTTTGGGGTGCCTTACAGTGAAGGATCCCTAGGTTTGGGCTGTAAGCAATTCCAGTTTCTAAGCAATTTGCCCTGAATTAATAAGTCTCGGTACTGCCTCCGGGACTCCTTCTTGTTACAACAACTGTTTTGCTTTCCCCATCCACTAGGTCAGTAACTCTGTCAAAGGGAATTATGTTGGTTTGGCACAATTATTCTAACTGCTATGAAGTACACATGCTTGCTCATATTGTCTTGACATCTGCGACTTTTTAATGGCAAACCGGCAGGGTTACTGTTTGAAATTTGGGTTTAATTCATTGAGGGGCTCCTGAGATACTGGACTTCTTCCCAAAAGCCACAGTTTGCTAAATCACCAGATGCCTGTGACGTTTTGCTCAAACCTTGGCTGGAATTAGGCTTTTAATTGTCCCTCCAATTGATTTCAGTCACTTGTCATTTACATCAGCTAGGGTGTGTCACTGACTGCCAAAGAGCTGTGTGTGTGTGGGGGGGGGGGAGGAGGGCAAGGGGAGGAAGTAGATTTCAGATGGGCATGAGCCCAACTGACAAATCAAAGAGATGAAAATGCAGACAAGCAGCAAGACTAAGGCTCTGTTAGCTTTCAGAGGGTATCCAGTAATCTGTCAGCAAAGTAATTGGTTGGCTGGAGGGGACATGCTTTGGGCATTGTACCTGGACTATACCAGTACATTTGAATTTGAGCCCCACAAGTAGTAGCTTTTGGACAAAGCGTGTGGTGTATTTTTATTGCCTTTTGAACGAGCTTCCTTTAGAAGTTTTGCCATCTGATACCAAAGTACTTCTATCCAAAGGCAAACTTTTGCCTGGTCTATAATTAAAAGCACTGCCAACATTACTCTCCAGGTTAGGGATATGCAAAATTGCACCCCTAACTGAAAAAAGCACAATTATAGTGGCAAAATAAAGTGCATTAAAACATGAAGGCAATCAAATGCCCATAAACTACATAAATGCAGTTAAGGTTGCTCAGGGCTGCCTCATGCCCTTCCAGCATAGGTGTGGAGGCTAAATTAAGCTTCTGAAAATGAAGAGTTAAAGTACATGTGATTAGCGTTCGCATCGGCTCATTAGGCGGCCTCAAGAAAAATGTGTGACCTCATGTCCTGACCTCTATGGCTGCCAGGCAGAAGCATCAGGTGGGTGGGCAAGGTGGGTGGGAGGAGTCTCTGTGCCCTGACCCCACTCTCTGGCAGGCGCACAGGACAGGTAGAAAAGCGGGACAAGCCTCTGCACACAATCCTCTCTCCAAAAGGAGCACCGGTCAGACGGGAAGAGCGAGGCAGTTCCCAGGATGGATGGGGGTGGGTGGGAGATGCAGGCAGGAGTCAGGAGGGACCTTCACTTGCTCTGGCCCAGGCCCTACAAATTGCTAATCCGCCTCCAGGTGTAAGAATGGTGCAGAGGTTACAAGCTACCATGGGAAGCAGAGGGGTCTCCTGCTGTATGGGATGTCTTGAGGCCTTTCTGGCAGATAGTTTAGTCAGACACCAAGGCTACGTCTACACTGGCATGATTTTCCGGAAATGCTTTTAACGGAAAAGTTTCCGTTAAAAACATTTTCGGAAAAGAGCGTCTAGTTTGGCAGGACGCTTTTCCGCAAAAACACTTTTTGTGGAAAAGCGTTCGAGGCCAATCTAGATGCGCTTTTCCGCAAAAAAGCCCCGATTGCCATTTTCGCGACTGGGGCTTTTTTGCGGAAAACAAATCTCTGCTGTCTACACTGGCCCTTTTGCGCAAAAGTCTTTCAGAAAAAGACTTTTGCCCGAACGGGAGCAGCATAGTATTTCCGCAAAAGCACTGACAATCTTACATGAGATCGTCAGTGCTTTTGCGGAAATTCAAGCGGCCAGTGTAGACAGCTGGCAAGCAGATGATTTTGCGGAAAAACTTGCCAGTCTGTACACAGCCCAAGTGCTCTGCTCAGGACAGCGGTGACTGGATGGAATTCTATGGTCTGTGTGATACAGGGGGAATGAGCAGATGAGCTAATAGCCTTAAAATCTACCAATCTATAACCAATATGAGGAAGGGCTAAGAACATGCCATGGCATGCGTTTCACACACTGGGAATACCAGCATTTATCCACCCACCCTGAGGAGGAATTCTTGCCTTGGGGATTGTCAGCCATCTGGTGGCAGACATCCTAGCAATCTCCAGGGGTAAGCGAAGCAAGGGATCCTCAGGAGGAAGGTAAATTGGGTGGGAGTGAAGGGGATTTTGCACGTGTGCGTTGCTGTGTAGAGGAAGCTCAGAACAGGTATGGGAAGCCTCCATTTACTAGACCAGACCAAACCCTGGTTCTGCCTTAGCAAAGAGACGATGTTACACTTGGTGCCATGCTGCAGAGCTCTAGTGTGTGGGTCACTGGCACGTTGGGGTGATGCTGAAACTGGGCAGCGCAGACGTTGTGCAGTGACGTGCACTCTAGTTAATCACTTCCCCTTCTAAAAACTGCAGAGACAGGACTCCTTACCCAGTGAGGTCACGTTCTCATAGTTCTCCTGCATGACGTCTCTGTAGAGGGATCTCTGACCTGGGTCCAGCAAAGTCCACTCTTCTTCACTGAAATTCACAGCCACCTCTTCAAAGGTCACTGGCCCCTGAAAAAGCAAGAGCCCCACCCCCACCACTCAGCACCTGCTGCCCCACTCACAGCCTCACTAGTCATGGACAAAAGGAGCCAATCAAGAGGAGGCTCTGTGGGGCTCATAGTGAACAGAATCTCACTCCCACCCTGCCCACAAAAGTAGAGACACATCAGAGTGATGGAATGTTCACATCCTTCACTCACCAACTAGCCAGAGACTGATATACGACATGAAGCCCCCAGCAGAATCCAGGGTGAAAATCCCAAACCTTTTCCCTGTCCAGCAGCTGAATGTGAAGGGAGGGGCAGTCCCCCATAGCCCTGCTGCAAATGCCCCCCTTCGGATCTCCCAGCAGCCACTGGCTCTTGAGTTCAGGCTCCTGCACTAAAAGCTTGGTAAGTTTTCCCAGCCCTGTCCAGGGGGTTGTTTCCTGTTCCGAAAATAAGGAAGTTCCATTCCAAATCCTAAGGGTCTGTTCCTAGACCCAAGGAACCAGGTGACACCAGTCACCGCAGCTATGTCACACTCTGTGCACCTCTTTCTGCACTTCTGCATAGTATCTCACTCCTCCCACCTGCAGATCAAACTCCCTAGACCAGGAGTCACCAACCCGTCGATCACAATATCTGGGCCACTAACATCCAGCAGAGCAGTGGGGCTCAGACTGGCTGTCAGCGAGCTGCAAGCTCCTCTCTGTGATGCCCGTGGGGAGAGAGGGACAGCATGTCTTTGCAAGCTGCCCACACCCACAGCTCCCACTGGCTGGCAAGTGAACCCCACAGAGCTGAAGCCCTCAGACCCACCTCCTTACTGAGCAGGAGATAGAGGTGAAGTTTTTTCCCCTGGGACTGCAGCTGTGGTGAGAATTGCAGCCATGGAGAAAGTGAGCCTGCATGAGGATCCTGCTGGGTTGCTGCCTGGAAGTCACTGAGATAAGTGCCTCCCAGCAAAAACCTCTGCATAGCTTCTGTTAGGATCACCATCCCATCGATCGCAATCTCAGGGCCAAGCTAATTCCAGCGGAGCAGCAGGGCTCATGCAGGCTGTCAGACATCCTTGGTGAGAGAGAGACAGCGTGTCTCTGCAAGCCGCCCACACTCACAGCTCCCATTGGCTGGCTCCTGGCCAATGAGAGCCGTGAGGAGAGTGCTGGGGGTGGGGCAGAGCATTGAGACATACTGGACACCTCCCCATCAGGGGAGCACATAGATAAGCCTGCAGCTGGATCCTTCTGCGTGCGGCATGGAGCCATGGCAGGACAGGCTGTCTTGATCCTTGCTGTACTGACAACTGGGAGCTGCCTGTGATAAGCAGCTGGAGACTGGGTTGCAGCTGGGGAAATGGGGTGCTGACTCTGGGACGGGTCTTCAGGCTGGAACAGAGAGCCAGCAACCCATACCTGCATCCCAAAACTTTGCCCCAGTCTGGATCCCCTCCCAGAGCCAGCACCCTCAACCCCCACTGCACCAAAACACTTGCCCAGCCTGAAGTCCTCTCCTGCACCCAAACTCCCTCCTAGAACTTACACCCGTCATCACTTCCTGCTCCCAAACCCCTCGGCCTGGGCCCAGTGAAAGTAAGTGAGGATGGGGGAAGAGTGATGGAAAGTGGGGGGAATGGAGAGGCCAGGGCTTTGGGAAAGGGGGGGAGGGTTTATATCCTGGGTTGCCCTGAAATTTAAAAAGCAATCTTGGGCATAAAAAGGTGGCTCAGATGCTCCCACCAGCTATGAATTAACCATTCTTTGTCCACCAGCAACTAACTGATAGTCCCTACCTGAACCAATTCCAATGCAGCCATTTCCCTTCCCCGTCCCAAAGGAAGGCGGGATGGCCTGGAGCAACACATGGATGTCATTCCGCAGCCTGTCAAGGCAAAAAGAGAATTTAGGGAGCCGTTAGAACAGGCTGTGGTTTGTGTCACATCACAATCTCTCCCAGCTCCTCCCCTGCAGAAAGGCATTCCAGGCTCTGCCATTCAAAGAACAGACAGATCCCAAAGACAAGAACTGATAGTAAAGGGAGCAGGGGGAATTTAAGTACCTAGATGTCGGTGGGTACAGTGACAACACTAAACCTAACATTTCCATTGAGCTTGTGGGATGTTCTGTTGAAAGACGTAACCAGGAGAAGTGACATTTTAGATCTGATTCTAACTGAGAGAGAAGAATTGGAAATGAATAGGAGGGTTGAAGGTGTGACAAAGTGGGGGATTTATGGGGGCTCAACCGAGTTGCATGCACAAGGGGTGGCACTCAGTATCCCTGGGGGTTACCAGTTTAGCAAGGTAAGTTTAGTGTGAGCTTGTTGTAATAGGGACCAGTACAAAACTAGAGACCCCAGAGACTGGTGACCTGGTGACCAGGAGACACAGCTCAGATGGCATAGCTGGATCTCACAAGTGGGAAAACAATGGGCTTCAGAGAGAGGACACCCTGTGACCTGAACAGCTGCTTCCAGCCATGGGGGAGCAAAGGACAGGAGAGAGGAGAGGCAGACAAGAGAGGGGCCAAGGTGACCCTGTTCACCTGAACAGAAGGCAAAGGACAAGGAAGCAGCTGCTGGAGAGGGATATCTGAGCTCTGACAGAAGGAGGGAGCTCCTGCACTGGGCAGAGGGAGCAGGCAAAGCTCACCTGGCTGCAGGGGACACTCGGATGTGCTGTGCTGAGGGAGGCCAGGTATGATGTGTTCATGCTCAGTAAACTCTCCTGTTTTACACTGGCTGAGAGTTACCACATTCTAGAGAGCAGGGCTGCACTATTCCCTCTGAGAGTGGAGGCTCTGGGGTTCCAGAGCGAGTGGACTCCTTGAGGGGGCCCACAGCGACAGGTGTGCTGGAGGCTCAGAGAAATGTAGTCCCAGAAGACAGAGGGGCTTAAGCCTCACGGGAGAGTGGATTCCCAAGTAGAGGGCACTGGAGGGAGTTCCAAGTGTGGGCACCACCTTTGAGTCCATGATAGAAGGCATGGGGGGGTGAAAGTGATCATCATAAAATTGTAGATTGAAATGCACAAGGGTCTATTAACAGCCAGAGGGTTTCCAGCCATCTGCAAGCACAGTAATTAGCTGGCTGGAAGAGGCATGCTGTGGGCATTGCACCTGAACTATTCTCATGCATTTCAATTTGAGCTCCACAGGAAGTAGCTTGCAGAAGAAGCATGTTGTGTAATTCTATTGCCTTTTGAAATAGCTATGCCAGCAAAATCTAGAGATAGCACATTTGTAGTGGCAAAAAAAGTGCAGGACTCCTTACCCAGGGAGGTCACATTCTCGTAGTTCTCCCGCATGACGGCTCTGTAGAGGGCTCTCTGAGCAGGGTCCAGCAGAGCCCACTCTTCCCAGGTGAAATACACAGCCACCTCCTTGAAGGGCATGGGCTCCTGAAAAAGCAAGGCCCTCCCATTCAATACTTGCTACCTGACTCACTAGTCATGGGGAAAATGAGCCAATCAAGTGGAAGTTCTGGGAGGCTCTCAATCAGCAAAGTCTCACCCCCATTCAGCTCAGAGACATTGGGGGAGAGAGACCTTATCCCCCACCAGGCAGGGGGACGGAGTGTTCACATCCATCACTCACTGACTAGCCACAGGCTAATATAGGACATGGAGCCCCCAGAAGAAATCAGGGACAGTGCCCAGCAGCTGGCTGTGAGGAAAGGGGCAGGTCCCCTAAGTCCTGCTGCAAAATGGCCTCTTTATATCTCCCATTAGCCGCTGGCTCATAAGTTCAGGCTCCAACAGCAAAAGCCCGGTATGTTTTCACAGCCCCCTCCCGACTAGCTGGGAGAAACGGGCTGAGCAAGGCTCCTTAAGTAGGGAACCTTCCTCTGCCTAGTTTCTGTCTCCTCAAACCTCCAGATCATATTCCTTAGAACAGGAGTAGGCAACCTTTTTTGGGTCAGAGGCTACTGACCCACAGAAAAATCAGTCGGGTGCCACGCACAGACAACCCTCTCTGACCTGGCTCCCAACTGAGAAGCAGAAAGACACTCCTCCCATACCTGAGCCTAGGGGGGCACAGCCTAGTAGTTTTTTTGTGCTCTAGTCTCATGATGTGGCAGCAGGGGGGCTGGAGCACCAGCACAGGCTCCCCAATGTAGGGCAGAGCCGTGAGCCTCAGGGGCCAGATCCAGGCAAGCCAGAAGCCACATCCAGCTTCCAGGTCTGAGGATCCCCACACCTCTGCCTTAGAAATTCCTAAAACCTATATATGAACCATTCCTTTCTCTACCTGAACTGATTCCAGCGCAGTCATTTTCCTTTCCTGTCCTGTAGGATGATGGGATGGCGTGGAGCAAAACATGGACGTCATTACACAGCCTATTGAGGCAGGAAGAGAATTTAGGGAGCCGTTAGAACCAGCTGTAGTTTGCATCACCTCACATTTCTCTGCCCTCCCAGCTTCTCCCCTGAAGAAAAACATCCCAGATTCTGCCATACAAAGAAGAAGAAATGTTTCAAAGACAAGAGTGGAGGGGGGGAAACTTTAACTACCCAGGTACCAGCGAGTACAGAAACAACACCAAATGCACTTCCACTCAGATATGTAATGTGACTTTTTGTTTCAGAAGATGGAAGGACTAACTGGGAGCACTGACCTTTTAGAATTGATTCTGACTAACAGAGAAGAACTGGAAATGAATATGAAGGTTGAATACAAGTTGGCGGAAGTGACCGTGATATCATAGATTTCATGATTCTAGTACAGGAAGAGATTAAATAAACAATAGACTTCAAAAAATAGACTTAGAAAAGAGTCCATTGGAAGAAAATCATAGAATCATAGAGCTGGAAAAGACCTCAGAATGTCATCAAGTCCACCCCCCTGCTCTAGGCAGGACCAATCCCAACTAAATCAACCCAGCCAGGGCTTTGTCAAGACAAGACATAAACTCCTCTAGGGATGGAGACTCCACTACTTCCCCATTCCAGTGCTTCACCACTCTCCTGGGCTACGTCTAGATTGCATCCCTTTTTCGTAAAAGGGATACAAATTAGATGTATCTCAATTGCTAATGAGGCGGGGATTTAAATCTCCCCCGCTTCATTAGCATAAAAATGGCTGCCGCTTTTTTTCAGCATGGAGCTTTGCCGGAAAAAAGCGCCAGTCTAGACGTGGATCTTGCGGAAAATAAAGCCTTTTCTGAAAGATCCCTTATCCCTTATTTTAAGAGGGATAAGGGATCTTTCGGAAAAGGCTTTCTTTTCCGAAAGATCCGCGTCTAGACTGGCGCTTTTTTCTGGCAAAGCTCCGTGCCGAAAAAAAAGCGGCAGCCATTTTTATGCTAATGAAGCGGGGGAGATTTAAATCCCCGCTTCATTAGCAATTGTGATACATCTAATTTGCATCCCTTTTACGAAAAAGGGATGCAATCTAGACGTAGCCCTAGTGAAATAGTTTTTCCTAATATCCAACCTGGACCTCTCCCACCGCAACTTGAGACCATTGCTCCTTGTTCTGCCATCTGTCACCACTGAGAACAGCCTTTCTCCATCCTCTTTGGAAGCTCCCTTCAGGAAGTTGAAGGCTGCTATCAAATCCCCCCTCACTCTTCGCTTCTGCAGACTAAACAGACCCAACTCCCTCATCCTCTCCTCATAGTTCATATGCTCCAGCCCCCTAATCATTTTGGTTGCCCTCCACTGGACCCTCTCCAATGCGTCCACATCATTTTTGTAGTGGGGGGCCCAGAACTGGACACAATCCTCCAGATGTGGCCTCACCAGAGCCGAACAAAGGGGAATAATGACATCTCTGGAGAGGGAAATGTAAGGGGGAAAAGACTGCAGGAGAGCTGGTAGTTTCTCAAAGCGACACTATTCAAAAAGTATAACCTACAGCAAAGGACAGACAGGAAGAGGAGGAAGAGATCAATGTGTGTCCATCAGAGGCTCTTTAATTACCTGAAAATAAAAAGAAGCCTCACAAAAAATGGAAGCAGACAAATTGTGAAGGGGAAGTGAAAAAGAACCTCACAAGCACTTTTGTATAGACAAAATCAGAAAGGTAAAGCACAAAATGAGTTACATCGAGTAAGAGACATAAAAGGCAGTAAGGGAATGGGGAAGAAAAATGCAGGGAAGGAGGGCTCATAAAGGATGAAATCAAGAACATTTGCATGTTTAATGCCTGTTTTAACTAACTAGATTAACTGTAATCAGATACAGATATTTTGCATAATTATTACCACCACCAAGTGGAAAGAACAGGTTAAAGAATATCTAGAGAAGTTAGATGTATTTAAGTCAGCATGGCAGGATGAATTTGAGTACTTAAGTAACTTGGAATCATTAGCTATTTTCTTCAAGAACTCATGCAGGACAGCTGAGGCTCCAGAGGACTGGAGAAAGGCAAACATAAAACCTGTCTTTAAAAAGGGAGAACAATGTAGATATGGGGAATAAAGACCAGTCGAATGTAATTTCAGTACCAAGAAAGATTCTGCAACAACCTAGTAAAGGAACATAAGCTTTGGCAAGCGTAAAAGTATAATTAGACAGGCCAACCAAGAATATCAAGAGCAACGAGCAAAACACAATAACTAACAGCAAATTTTTTAAGTCCTTAAGGAACACAAAATCTGGAGTGAAATGTCTCCCCAGCCCTACTTATGGAAGCCATTTAGACCGTGAGCATGTGAGCAAGAACATGCCAGCCTAGCACCTGGGAGAAGGAATGCTTAGTGCCACCTCAGAGCATTGGCCCTCCACAGCCAATACAGAGTCCCATCTCCAGCCATGGCCAACTCAGTAATGATTCAGAGGAAGGAGAGCAGAGCAAGTATAACAATATATGCCCCCACTCCGGTACAGTATGTATGCCTGGTGCATGCACATTCCTGACCCCCACATATGGATGATAACGTTCTGAAAGTATGAAATTATTAAGAATATAAGACACAGACCAGAAGGGAGATGCTGGGCTGCAGAGCTCTGGCTCCTGCTATCACAAGCAATTACTCCATACAAGCTCCCTTAGAAATGTGTGCGTCTCTTTCTTAAAGCAACCCTCTTTGTTTGCCCATTCGTCCTAGGGCATCTTGAGAAAAGAAAAGGGCCCTGCTAATTTTCTTTTTAGCACCTAGGAGACACAGTTCTCCTAAACAGGGAACAGCCTCTTGCTTTGATCTGTATTAATTACGGGGACAGATACGTTCATTAGTAAACATTTAAACTGAAACAGAGGGGAAAAGAAATATTTCTCAAACAAGGGAAAGGTGATCATGGGGAATTTTAAAAGGAGAAGCTACTGCAATTGAAAAACAGGGGGAACACTTCCAGAACTGAGGGGATTTTTAATTGTTTCATTAGTACATAGGGAAAAAAAACCATGAGATTTGGTATCAATGTACAGTAATGAGAGAAAGAAGGGTGGAAATCTGAGGAATTTGGGATCAGTTGTCACAAATTTAAGAAAATAAATGGAGAAATTGGAGGGATTTTAAGCCAATAATTGATCATAGGTCAAGAGGTAAAATCTGAGAGAATTTCTTATTTATTGAGAGAAAAGAGCAACATCTGAAAGGATTTTCTTCCAGTATGTAAGAAGCTGAGAAAAAATGGGAGGAGATTTTAATGCTAACATTTCATAATAAGAGGCAATGAAAAAATCTCAGGACCTATCAAAATGGTAACAGATAACAGGAGAGAAGAGGGCCAAGGAAACTGTGGGGTGAATCACTGTGAAAACATGCTATGTCAATGCGAATTGGCTGAGGGCCCGCCATACAAAAGAACAGTCACATTGGGTCAGAGCAAAAGTCCATCTATCCCAGTATCCTGTCTTCTGACACTGGTCAATGCCAGGTGCCCTAAAGAAAATGAACAGAACAGGGAATCATCAAGTGATCCATCCCCTGTAGCCCATTCCCAGCTTCTGGCAGAGAGAGGCTACAGACACTAACAACTCACATTGGAGGAGAAAAATGAATGGTTAACCGATAAGCCTCGCCCTTTATGGGTGATGCTTAGCAGTTATCATTAACCAGTGGGGGTTTGAGCAGCTCCCCACCAGCTGTGACAGGGGGCTGGTCATAGGCAAGGGCACTGCAGCTGGCTGGAGCAATCCCTGTCTGCAGCCAGGGGAGGGAAGGAGAATGCTCTAGCTGGGGGAGGGGAGCCAAAAGGAATAAGACCCTCCGGAAAAGGGCACTTTTTCCGGAGGATCGGGGCCAGTGTAGACGCTCTTTTCCGGCTTTTTTAAAAGCCGGAAAAAAGCGGCGGACATTTTTATTTAAATGCCGCGGGGGATATTTAAATCCCCCGCGGATTTCCCTACGACGACTAGTGAAATTTACATGCCCCTTCCGGAAAAGGGGCCAGTGTAGACGTAGCCTTGCTGTTATCTTTCAACAAGGGCACTCCATCCAGTAAAAGAGAGCGCCTCACCCACACTGGGGGGATTTTATAGCAACTCTTGAAAAGTGGAGAGAAAAGGGGTCAAACCCATAGGCTGTGTCTAGACTGGCAAGTTTTTCCGTAAAATGAGCTGCTTTTGCGGAAAAACTTGCCAGCTGTCTACACTGGCCGCTTGAATTTCCGCAAGAACACTGACTTCCTACTGTAAGAAATCAGTGCTTCTTGCGGTAATACTATGCTGCTCCCGTTTGGGCAAAAGCCCTCTTGCGCAAATCATTTGCGCAAGAGGGCCAGTGTAGACAGCACAGTACTGTTTTGCACAAAAAAGCCCCGATGGCTAAAATGGCAATCGGGGCTTTTTTGCGCAAAAGCGCATCTAGATTGGCACGGACGCTTTTCCGCAAAAAGTGCTTTTGCGGAAAAGCGTCCATGCCAATCTATATGCTCTTTTCCGCAAATGTTTTTAACGGAAAACTTTAGTTCACCGCCCACCCCCAGGAGCCGCGGCTGCTTCTTCCCGCCTGCCTGTGCCCTGCAAACCCCGGCCGGGAGGTGGGCCTGGGCAGCCGGTCCCCGCACCCCGCCGGCCAGAAGGGCGCCGCCGAGCTGGGTGCTCCCGACATGGGCTGACTCCAGTTCTGGCGCCGACAGAACCTGGGGGGAGTCAGGGGACCCCCAAGCAGCTACATCCCCATGGCCGGGGGCTTAACGTTACAATCCAATGCTTGGCACATTTTCAGTCGCTTCGCTGGTACTGTACCCAATTCCGTTCACGCTGCGCCCCACAACCCCAATCTGCCATGGTTTAAGGCTCATCCCTTGCCCCCCCCCGTCTGCCCTGGTTGTGCCCCCCAATCTAGTCTGGTTCTACGGACCACCTCCTGTCTCCCCCGCCCCATCATCTGCCCTGGTGTGGAGCCCACCTCCTGCCCCCAATTTTGCCATGGCTACTCCCCCAATCTCCCCTGGTTCTAGGGCTCACCCACTGTCCCCCAGTCTGTCCTGGTCTAGGGCTCACCTCTTGCCCCCTTTCTACTCTAGCTGTGCTCCACCTCCACAGCCTGCCCTCGTCTAGGGCCCTCCTCCTACCCTCTTCCCCCATTGTACGCTGGATGCAACCCCCAATCTGCTGCTGACTCTACCTCTTCACCACACACACTCCCCCCAGTTCTGCTATGGCTTTAGGTCTGGTCCTGAGTCCCCACAACAGCACCCAGGATCCCAACCAGCATGCTACATAAGGGGCTAAGGAGCTCATTAGGTACCCAGAGCCATCAACCAGTCCATAGCTGGCCAGGCAGATGCTGTTTGTGCCCAACTGATAGAGCAGGACACCAGCAGAGGTAGCCCCCACAGCAGGGGGCTGCCTCATTGCTCAACCTGGAGGACACTGCAGTAGGTCTAGGGAAGGTGCCCTGCTCCCAGAGCTCCCCCTGCAGCCGCATCCACATCTTCCTTCTCCCCTGCTGGTTGGTGAAGAGGTAGATGCTGCAGCCTGCTCAGCTTGCCAGGGTCACTGGTAGGATAGGACCCAGGGGATGGATCAGGGAATCAAGAGACTGAGGATATCTGGGGAAGGGACACAGAGGATCCAGGGGGAATGGCATGTTAGGGCTTGGGGAAAGCAGAAAAATGGGGGAGTCAAGTGAGCAAGAGACCCTGGGGTTTGGAGGGCGGGGGGTATGTGACTGGGTGGACCTTGCAGGGGCAGTGAACAAAGAGTTGAGGCATTGAGGGTAGGGATATGAGTGGGTAACAGTTAATAGATAACAGGGAGAGGCCCCCCACTTACCTCCTCATGCTGGAGTGCCCCCATATGCCCCCTTTAATTAAACACTATGTTTAATCAGTTAACCAATTAAACAGGATTTTAAATCCTTATTAGAGGAGAGGCAATATTAAGAGTGGGGAAAAATTGGGGGGTTGGAGAAGGGGAGGGCGGAAACTAGGGGAATTAGGTGCAGGAAAGCATCAGGAGCTGTGATGTGGGGGCCCCTTTTGGCTCTTGGTGCAGCTGGAGATGGAGGGATGGGAGAGTCTCTGTACAGATTGATCTGGGAGGACTGTGGCCGGCGGTAGAGGGGTGTTAGTGGGAGCAGGGATTTTGGGGTCCCTGTGGCAGCTGGTGCTGAATGATCTTTGCTGGGTATTCCCACTGGGGAGTCCTTGTAGGGGCATCCCTGGCTGATGAGGTAGATGGGGAAAGGGGCTGGCTGAGCAGAATCTCTGCTAGATGTGTCTCTTTGCAGCTTCTAGGCAGGTGGTGAAGGTCTGGTAGAGGTTATCTGGCAGGTGGGGTTGCTGGATTTGGGGGAGGGTCTGCTCAGCAAGGGGGCGGTCCTAATAGTGGGCCTGGGGGAAGTGTCTGGGGTGTCTCAAGGAGGGCCCTGGGTGATGTTAGGGTGCTATTCACTGACACACACTGGTGGTCTCTGCCTAGGGAGATGTCAGGGATGTTCTTGGCTGGAGGGTGTCAGAGGCTGGGTCTCAGGAATATCTGAGGAGGGAATTGTTCCTGAGTGGGGGCGGTTCCCAGCCACATTCTACTAATGTTTTTGCTGCCCTTGTGTTAGCCACTTGGGTCAGGCAGGAGGGACTCTCTGCCCATGCCCCCAGGCAGGAGAGTCTGATCTGGACTTGTGGTGCTGGGGAACTCCCTTCCACAGAACCCGGTGTGCACATGTTGGCCTCTAGCTGGAACAGGGACCCTCAGCCATCAAGCCACAATGGAAATCAGGAAGAACCAGGGTGGAGGAGGCCACCTCAGCCCTAGACTCCCAGCTTTTCCCACCACCCCCTGAGAGGCAGTAATCAGCCTCAGGTTACATAGGGGAAACTGAGGCAAAGAGGGGGAAAGATGCCCCAAGATGACACAGGGGTATGGGCTGGTGTGATGCTCAATGGTAACCCTCTAGGTAGCTTCTGTTCTTCTCATGTCCCTGCAACAACCACAATGTGGCCCCATTTTCTTCCTCACTTTGAGTGGGAGCAGGGAACATACCGAGGCATGACCATACCTAAAAAGACTATGGGGCATCATGTGTCTTGTAGCCATCTCTGTGCCTGGAGAGACCAGGGGGCATGTGAGAGACAATGCCAGTATATTCCCCCTCCTGATAGGCAGGAACTAAAACCAGGAGTCCTGGCTCCCATCCCCCCGCCCCACTCTAACCACTAGACCCCGCTACCCCCACCCCGAGCTGAGGATAGAAGCCAAGCATCCTGTACCAGGTGAGCATGAGCAGAGGCGCCAGTGCATTCTTTCTGGCACCTGGATAGCTAGCACTGACAACTCCCTTGCCCTGTGCAACTGCACAGCCTGCCCCCAAGGCTCTAGGCATGAATCCAGGCTTCTCAGTTCCCAGCACAGTTTTGTGAGCAAATAGCTCCATCCCTTGCCTGCCTTTGGCCAGCAGTTACTGGTTGGTGGTTATCTGGAGCTTAGGAAGGGAAGTGGGTTCTAATGGTTATAGCAGGAGCCGGCAGCCTGGACTCTTAGGTTCTCTCCCTGATTCCGGGAGGGGAGTGATGCCTAATGGTCAAAGAGGGGTGCAAGCCAGGATCTAGTGCAGCAGTGAGCAACCTGCAGCCCACCAGGGTTCTATGAGTAGCCAGGAGACATTTTGCTCCCTGTTGCCCACACACAAGGTTGATACATTCCTCTGTTTCCTGTCCCTGTTGTGAGTCTAGCAATACCCATGCATATAAAGCAGCGATGGGCAACCTCCCCCTCTACCGCCAATCAAAGCGTTGCTACAGTTACCTCCCCCCCCCCATCCCAATTCTAGGGACAGCAGCGCCGTTACCAAAACAGGCCTATCCCGGGACTCCATCTTGGTTAGGACAGTGGCGGCCCGCTGAGATGAACAAGGGGCGCTCATGCGGCCCGCTCACTAGCCCGGGTGGCCCATCGCTGATCTACGGGTTAAGGCCCGGGGGTGGTTCCCACAAAGAGCAGAGCGCGGCGGGGCAGAGCAGGGGGTGCAGCGGGGGGAGCTGGAGAGGGCCCTGCGGGTGCAGCTGGAAGGGGCCTGCAGGGAGATACTCACCGGAGGCGGGTGCAGCGGGGTGGCGGCCTCTCCCCGCGGCGGGGGTACAAGCAGCCCGGGCTGCAA